AAAAAAATGATGTCTAAGTCAAAGGAACATAGGTATGTATTGCATGTACATAAGTATACATCCCTTAAGGTTACACATTGCATTCTAAACTATACTACCTACAACTTCTACAATACGAAGTATTATCTTCCTAATCTCTGTGTCTTGATACCTGTCATAAAAATAAAAAATTCTACATAACAAAATGAGATAGATATACACTATAGGTAAGTTCATATTTATGTGCCACCAGACACATTTCTACCAAGAAGAGCATACACAACCACTGTAGGTTGTTCTACCATTCCAAAATTATATTCTTATAACTATATATTGATACCTGCAATAATAAAAACTCAATAACAAAGATAAATAAATTGCATAGAAGAATTGTTATCAGCATATTTGTGTGCCCAAATGCAAAATTGTCAATACAAACTACAACCAAACCACACGAATGCCATAAGGCACAATTATCTTAAAATCACAGTCCAAAAATCACTTTTGTTAAATGCTTGATTTGTGGATGAATACTCGTAGGACCAAAATTAATTTTCCAAATTAATTTTGTTCTTCATGTAGTAGTCTTTTCCTTTGCATACTGACTTGATATACTGAATTATGATGCTTGTACTAAAGACCTAAATTCTAAAAGGATCTAAAGTACATTTGGCTCATCAAAACTTTATTACAAAAAAATATTCCTATCAGAATACCATTTTCTCTAATCAAGAATATCAGAGCTCAGGCTCCTACAATGCATGACTGACATAATACACGGGTCGTTGAACTCCTTGGTTATCCATCCTGCATAATACTGCGCTTACTACTCGGCCTGTAGCTGGTAAATATACATACAAAATCTCACCGGGTTCGTGTTTAGAGAGCATGATCGGTGACATCAAATATTCTTTCAGCCTATCAAATGCCTCTTGACACTTGGGTCCTAGACTAATGAATTAGCCTTCTTTAATGTTTTAAAGAAAGGCAACGCCTTCTCGGCTAGTGCGGCTAATCGACCAGTCAACTGTTAGACTTCAAGAACTGAGCTTGGCAGTTTCATGTCGAGAATTGTCTTTACTTTAGCTGGGTTTGTCTTGATCTCTCTCTTGATCATCATAAATCCAATGAACTTTCTTGTCTAGACCTCAAACGTGCATTTTCTTGGATTCAAACGCAACTGAAACCAGCGCATGATTTCAAAACACACCTTTAAGTCTCGTGGGTGAGGTTCTCGACTGCCACTCTTCACCAACATGTTATCGATATATGCTTCCATAAACCTGCCGAACAACTATGCAAATACCCCATCTCTGATAAGTCGTGCCGGCGTTGCACAATCCGAACGACATTAATCGGTAACAAAATAGCCCATCCGAAGTAATGAAGGGTGACTTGTTTTTGTTTTCCTCAACTATCATGATCTGATGATACCCCTTGAAAGCGTCCATGAAGCTCATTAGCTCGACCCTGGCGGTTTCGTCTACCATTTGATGGATGATCGGTAGAGGGTACAGATCCAACGGGTAGGCTTTGTTCAGATCGGTATAGTCGATGCACATTCTCCACGCTGGCAGTTTAGGGACGTGCACGACGTTCGCTACCCACTCCGGGTACACAACCCCCTCGAATGTGACCGATTGTAGCAAAAGTTTGCACCTTTTTCTTAACAAACTCTCGTCAGTCGGACGACATGCGTCGTTGTTTTTGCTTCACTGGCCTGGCAGTCGGATGAACTGCCAATCGGTGGTATATGACAAAATGATCTATGTCGGGCATATCTTCCCGGTCCCAAGCGAAGATATTTGCATACTCTCTCAAAACGCCAAGAACGGCCTCACGCAGTTGGGCGTCCAGCGCCCTCCCAATCTTGATAACCCTATCTAGGCAACTCTCATCCAAGGGTATTTCCTCCACTTCTTCAAAAAGGCTCGGGTTGCTCCTTCTTCTCCTCGTCATTTCGTTTGGAAATTGTATTTACTTCGGAAGCACACACTTCTTGTTTTTGCATTGTTCAGACATAACATTTTTAGGCTAACCTAACATCGCCTCTCAAAGCGCTAACTCCCTTTGACATCTGGAACTTCATACAGAGGTGGGGCATGGAAATGACAGCTCCAATATGAGCAATACCCGGTTGACCTAAGATCACATTATGAACACATTCCAGCTTAACCACAAAGATTTGCACCTCGGTCTTTAGGACTCTCGGGTGCGTGCTAACCTCTACTGGTAACCTTACAATGCCCTTAGGTTGGATCATATTTCATGTGAACCCATTTAAAGGGGTCACGAGCGGTGTCAACATGGCCGGTTCAAGCTCGAGCTTTTGAAAAAGTCCAAGTAGAGCATGTTCACACTACTGCCTGTACCAAGCCAAACCAAGGGTGCATCTAGGGATGACCGGTCGCTGTTTGTGATAGTCAAGTGGTTTAAACATCCCCTGGTGTATATAGGAGGGGAGGGGGTCGACGATGGGACATGTGTGTGGTCCAAAACTTATATATGGGGCTTGACTTTCACTTATTTTTCCCATGATTTCTAGCTCCAATGATACTACAAATAGGGCCTTAGTCTCCCCTTCATAAAACATGATCAGATTCACATAGCAATCCACTTTTTTTTTTTTTTTTTTTTTTTTTTTTTTTTTTTTTTTGCTATCTTCCACTTATTTGAAATATGCAAATAGAGAATTGGGCATGCGACTTAGGTTGATTGGCCTATTGATTTAACTCGTGTATTCATTTATAATTTGTAGACATTGTATTGTTTGTCAATATTTATTTTCATTTTCTTCCTAAACTAACCATTTTATGATATTCATGTCGAGTTAAAAATCATCAATACTATACATTGAAGACGTGTTTATACTATACATTGTATATGGTATTTGTGGATAGTTGATTTTGGATAAGAACAAAGTATTTGTTGGGGGTTTAGGATGTGAGAATTAGAGTCATATATAAAGGACCCGTTTGAAAACTTGTAAACTGTTTCTAAAAGAATATTTTTCAGAAAATAACTCATTTTTTTTAAAAAAATATTTTAATTATTTGGTATTTGCCTGAAGGTAAAAAATTTATACTCCATCTGTCCCATTTTATCTGTCATACTTACTATTCATTGGTCAAACTAACTCTTTTTCTTTGTTTATTTTCTTTAGTATTTTTTAACCTTATTTTTAATTTGATTTTTTGTGTTTAATAGTACTTTTAGTGTAGTTTATAAATATATAGATTTTGTATACTAACACTAAATTTAATATTATGAAAAATTGAATTAAAAATAACTCTAGTCAAGCCACGTTAGTCGAACCAGACACATAAAATGAGACGAAGAGAGTATATTTTTTGTTTGACGGAAAGTTAAGAAATTATATTTTTTATGTTTGGTTTATTTTTTTTAAATGAACATATAATAATAATAATAATAGTAATAATAATAATAATAATAATAATATAATAATAATAATAATAATAATAATAATAATAATAATAATAATTCAGAAACTAATGAATTAACATGTTTGGAAACACTTTTTCAGGAATTTAATTAATAAAAAAGTATCAAAACAGCCTCTAAGAAGACATATAAGCATTGTTTGGTAAAATAGTTAGTCCATCAGTCAATTTTAGTTTGTTTGACCACTATTAGATGTTTAACTTTGTTAAACAACCAATACGAGTGTTTGATCAATTTTTTTTGGTAACAGCTTATTACTATAAAACACTAAAAATTTAAAAAGTTGTTCAAATGAGTTTTTTCAGTAAGTTTTTGAGAAAGTCAAAATTTTGTGTGTAATCAATTATTAGTTAACATGTAATTTATCAAACATATTTCTACAATCAACTAGTCAAACCTACTAACTCAATCAGTTAACTGGGACCGGGTCCACCATAAACCGAGTACAGAGAGTACAGAACGGGGGGTAGGGCGCTAGGCCCAGCACGATATGTATAGAAGCCCGAGGTACAGGCCCAAGAACAGCGGCCCAAATACAAAGGACAAGGCCCACAAGGTGGGTTATAGCTAACTATGCTACTGGTAGGAATCGAACCCAGGTGACTGGATTGAGAGTATGGATCAAGACCACTAGACTGTAGTGCTTGTCGTGTCTGAGTTGCCCCTTTAGCCAGAGATCCAGGGCTCCTATTTATAGCAAACCCCCCTCCTCCATTAGCGTCCACGTGTCCCATGCAATCCATCCCCACTTCCCCACTACGCTTGTCTCTCGCCATTTGCACCACGTTCTCCGCCTTTCTCGACTCCCATCGCCTCTGCCACCTCACTCACACCACCCCCCCCCCCAACTCACCATGCTCGGCGCACACACCCCCGCCTGCGGATACCGCCCGAGACCAACGCCGCGGGACGCCGGGGCCGCGCGCCAAATGCGTCGGTTGCGCCACAGCCATGCTGGCCCGCGCCCCGGGCGCGCTGGTCGCGTCATGGCCGACCGGGGCCAGCGCCCCGGCCGGCGTCACCGCCGGCGCCGGCCCCCGCCCGGGCCGCTGGTGGCCCCCCAGCACGCGCTGGGCGCCGAGGCCACGCTGGTCGCGCCACGGCCGACCGGGGCCAACGCCCCGGTCGGTGTCGTCGCTGGGCCACCGCCGCCGGCCCCCGCCTGGGGCCGGCCGTGGCCCCCCGCGCGCCGGGCGCTGAGGCCGCGCTGGCCCGCGCCCAGCGCGCGCTGGGCACGCCACGACCGACCGGGGCCAGCGCCCCGGTCGACGCCCGGGTTTGGCCGCCGGCGCCGGCGGCTCCTCCTGGCCTTCCGGCCCAATTTTGTCCCCCCCTTTTTGTCGGCCCAATTCCATAAGCCCTCTGCGTCCCTGGCCCACACCCAATATCCCCATCAATCTCATAATACTTTTAAATCTAATACTTTATTTTTAATTAATATTATTTTTTTCATATAAATATTATATATTTTTCGATATAAGTGATATTTTTATTTTGAAAACGAACAATGATAGAACCAACAAGTTTTTTGCCTTTTATTTATCCCCAAAAAAATTGAGGAATGTTTGACAGATTGGCAAGGGGAGTATATTCGTCCTGGGAGCATTTTCCAAAGAAAGGGGCCGGTCGTCCAAGAAGGCTACCAAGTCCTTTTCCTGTGTTGTCGCCATGTCCACCATTGACTCCGTTCCACAGTCATCTACCACCACTACCGCCGGTAGCGACGGCGGTAGAGACTGGTTTTTCCCCTCACATGCTTTCACGCATTCCTCCCACCTTACACGAACTCCCGCCCGGCGATTTTCCTCTCCATACCCGCGGACAACGTCGTTGCCGAATCCGAGTCCCCTTGCTGTGTCTCGAAAGTACGCCGGAATACGGCGTCGTCTTTACCCCCATGGCGACTCCCACAACGACAAGTCAACAACAACAACTACCAATCATCTTAGCAATGGCGGTGAGAAGGCTATTGAGCAAGAGAAATGTCAGGCTCCAGAAGTCAAATTGAAGTCGCATGGAAAGAAATTCGCCGTATTGTTTGGTCGAAGGTTCAACATTCGCTGGCAGACGGCATTTTCAATCATAGTAAGTCTAGCTGTATAGGAACTCAATATGTATGCCTTTACTCAATATATATATGAATAAGTTATAGCATATGATGTTAAAGCGTTTTTATTGTTTGCAGATATTGATGACTGCATTTTCTTTGTTGCTTCACAAAAACTTTTCGTTACACCATCAAGTTATTGATTTGCAGGTAATGGAAATAATTGCTCTGTATTTCAAAATCGATTTCTTTTTAGGTGATGATCATAAGAAACGAGGGAGGCTTTCTTCTCTGCATAGGATGTATTTGATAAATAATTCTAATAATCTGGATGTTAAGAGTCAGTAGTCAGGACATATGTACATATAGTACTTACATAGTTATTAGAACTATGCAGATATTCAAAGTATCTAAGAGTAAAAGAAGTTAAAAAGAAGTGCTATAAAAAACTCACTTGAAGCTTGTGTGGGAAATTTCATAAAGTTTATTATATCTGATGAATGTGCATATACTGTAGATGGGTCAATTGTCTCATGATTTAAGACTATAACTTGCTCTTCTGGTCTTCCATAAATGAATTATGACTTCTTTAATTAAACGCTCAAAATATATTTTCCCTAAAAAGTTACCTACTGCACTTAAAATAAAGAACATGAATCATGACATGGCTGGGAAGTGCAGCTTGTTTAAAAAAATTCAGAACTGCACAATTAAGGAAGTAGAGGGATATGTACATGAGTGCATGTATACTGAGCATACCATTGGGGCTACTGCATTTTATGGCAGCAAGTGTTTGGTCTGAAGAAGAAAAATGTCTGTTAACTGTAACTGAGATGATAATATTAAGATGGATATTTTGGAATAAAAGAGCAAAGCATATTACAAATACTTTTACTTACTCAAAATAAAGCATAAGTTTACTGTGTACCTATTAAGGGCTAACTGATAGAAAATTGAATAAAATGGTTTGGTTAACTTCAATGCAGGCTATGGATTCCCTTGTTATATAGAATTGAATGGAGAAATAAAGTCCACGTAATAGACTCCAATTAAATTGGTATCAAGGGTTAGTTGTGGTTGAGTATATATATGTATTTCGTTACCATTTCTGTGGGTAAAGAATAGAGGACCACATGAGTAAAGGAAAAATGGCAGAGAAGCTAAGTAATTGATTCTTGGCATATGAGAATAAGGTAGTAAGAGAAAAAAGTTGCCATTCTCAATGAATGCATGGGAAAAGAAAAATAATAATAGTGATAAAACTCCTCCGGATGCCAAAACAATAAAATTCTCTTGGCATGAAAACATCCTCTCATCATTCAAGTAGCAACAGAGAATGCAGGTTTCTTTTAATGTAATGTAACATTATGTATATGAATTTGTATTCATGCAGGGTACTAATAGATTCATCTCATTGATTTTTAAGTCACTATCTATCTATTTTTTTCCCCCTCAATTTTTCAGGATCAGATTTCCAATCTCAACATCAAATTAAGAGACTGCAGTTTAATGGACACTGTAGATAGTAACAATTTTGTATTAGAGGATACTGATATTCCAAACAAAAGATGGAAGAATGCAGCTTTAGTTGTTTCACTCATGCTAGTATTACTCCCACTTGTGTTTTTCAAATATATTGATTACATCTCAAATTCTCGAAGATCAATAGATAATGTTACAGAGGAAATGTGTTTGAGCAAGCAACTTGCATACCGAGTGGATGTCTTTCTTTCATTTATTCCTTATGCTAAACCATTGGCCTTGTTAGTTGCAACCATACTGGTCATTTGTCTTGGAGCTTTCGCACTTTTTGGTGTTACAAAGGATAGCCTAGCAGACAGCTTTTGGTTATCTTGGACATATGTTGCTGACTCTGGGAACCATGCTAATTCTGAAGGCACTGGCCCAAGGCTGGTATCAGTTTCGGTTAGCTTTGGTGGAATGCTTATATTTGCAATGATGCTTGGACTTGTCTCTGATGCAATTTCTGAAAAATTTGACTCACTGAGGAAGGGAAAAAGTGAAGTAGTTGAGCAAAACCACACTCTGATACTTGGATGGAGTGATAAATTGGTAGGTCCTTTCATATATTTTTTACATATAAATAAGTGCTAATAATTGCATTTCTTGGTTTGCAAGCATAGTATATGTATAATATGTACTATCAGGCTAAACATTTATGGAGTAAATTTTATTATTTAACGAGTAGCCAGTCCTTATAATCTCTCAAAATATTTTGACCTAATCTGGGTTACCCATTTCTAACTGCTGTTGTGTTGTTAAGAACAATATTTTGCTTTTATCTTAATACACACTTTTTCTTTAATGACCATAGAGTAGAAGAACACTGAAATTCTATTGTTTGGCAACGCATCTGTTTAATTTCTAAGGCATTTTAATTTTAAATTTTTTTGGGTCAAAACTTTTTTTTTTTTTTTTTTTTTTTTTTTTTTTTTTTGAGCTTTTTATAAGTTTTTTCCTTTATGTACTTGTAGAAATGAAGAAAAGCAAGATTTGTACCCAAAAGCCAAAGAAATCTGAAATGGCAGATGTTCCTTGATGCATCTTTGTTGCAAGTAGGGAAGTAGATCAGAGATATAGGATATTCTCAACCCTTTTCAGTTACACTATATAATAATTACAGTAGACATGCAATTTCACATAGTTTGCTAAGGAAGAAGTAATGGCCTTACACTCTATTTCACTTATTTGAATCCAGGGATCACTACTGAATCAACTGGCTATAGCTAATGAAAGCTTGGGTGGGGGAACTGTTGTGGTCATGGCAGAGCGTGACAAAGAGGAGATGGAAGTTGACATTTCCAAAATGGAGTTTGACTTCAAAGGAACCTCTGTTATATGTAGAAGTGGAAGCCCTTTAATTTTAGCGGACTTGAAAAAGGTAAGTATTCTCAGGTTGCTTACGTAATATAGTGAACCTCATCTCTATTTGTTTATTGGTAAGTTTAATGTAGTGTAGATATAGAAGATAATGTTTTCATTTCTATATCTTGTGCTAAGGTTCATTGGACTGAGTTGTTTTGAAACACTATTCTTTCAAATTGTGGTCAATTTATGGCATGACTGAGTGCTTGCTAGCTATCAGGGTAGCATTATATTTTGTGTGTTCCTGTGTTCTGTCTCTCTCTCTTCTTTTTGAAATACTGTCAGTGTGTGGCATGATTATCTGTTTAGTGGTTTTCAGGATATCATTATATTTGATGTTTTCTAGGTTCTATACACTAATTGGGTGGACTTCTCCTTTAGGTCTCTGTATCTAAGGCTCGTGCAATAGTTGTCCTTGCTGAAGATGGAAATGCTGACCAGGTTGGATTTGTAATTGTAAACAAATATGCATCTGAGTTTGGATATTGCAATTGGTTGATAGCTATCTTAACACTGTTTGTTCTGATGTAGAGTGATGCTCGTGCATTGAGAACTGTCTTGAGCCTAACTGGAGTAAAAGAAGGGCTCCGAGGGCACATAGTGGTTGAACTCAGTGATCTTGATAATGAGGTTCTAGTTAAACTTGTTGGGGGTGATCTTGTTGAAACTGTTGTAGCTCATGATGTAATTGGGAGGTTGATGATTCAATGTGCTCGACAACCAGGCCTAGCCCAGGTGAACTCCTTGGCATACTCCAAACTATTGCATGGAAAATATAATGTACTTCTAGTATTTATGGTTATTTCTTTTGTTCATTTATTTGTCGTGTAAAAACATTGGGCTTGGTGTAGTGGTGATAAATGGGTTGGGCCTGATATAGTGGTTTTAGTGCTCAATCGCTGGCCTTTCAAATCAAGGATTCAAGTAGAGAAAACAAGTTATTGAGTTAAATACAAAAGTAAGGCTGTATAGTATTTGTTCTCCAAACCCTGGACAAAGCCGGCCATATTTAATTATCAGAACAAAAATCGAATGCTTATCTCGACAGTTGCTAGCCTATGTAAACCTAACCCGATTTTGCTCAGCAGGTATTTGCTATGAATAACTTTCTTTTCTGTGGATTTGGTGATTGCAGATATGGGAAGACATTCTTGGATTTGAGAATTGCGAGTTCTACATCAAGAGATGGACGCAGTTGGATGGCATGCCTTTTGAAGATGTCTTGATCAGCTTTCCTGAGGCTATTCCTTGTGGAGTCAAGGTGGCATCACGTGGTGGAAAAATCATTCTGAATCCCGAGGATTCCTATGTTCTGCAAGAAGGAGATGAAGTTCTTGTTATTGCGGAAGATGATGACTCATATGCTCCAGGGCCGCTGCCTATGGTGCTTTCTTATTCTTTTAAATAATTATGATTCATAAGTTAAGTTTACTGTGGATGTGTTTTGAATTGAGAGAATGCACTCGTTTCAGGATTCAGCCTTGTCAGTCAACCCACAGAAATGTATGAAATCTTGATAACTAAGTAGGTGACAATAGGTAACCTTAGATGTTATGACAAAAAACTGAAATTAATTCTTAAAGAAATTTGATTTGTCCTGGTTTGGTGTTCAGCACTAGATACATTCTGGGATAATAATACTAGAGACATTTCATCCCATCTGTAGGCTGATTAATACACGCGCATTAATCAAGTAGAATATATTGAAGAGCATCCAATAATAAATATATATGTTGCATTGTAGAATATCAAGTAGGTTTAATCATAAATGTTAGGCTGGACACTCTTGGAAGCAACCGTTGCCTACTGCTGATGGGTGAATCCAAACATGGAATCAAAGTGGGGCATATCAAGAATAAAACTTACAAATGTCTAATTAATTTGGTTATTCAGGTCAAAGAAGTATCATCCATACACATTGCTCGGTCAACAAAAAAGCCACAGAAGATTCTACTTTGTGGATGGAGACGGGACATTGATGATATGATTGTGGTAAGTTAAATCAATCAAAGCTCCTAATTCCTTTTTGTTTCACATGAATGCTGCAGGTTCAGAGGGGAAATCTGCCGAAGAATTTAACCATCCAAAGGTCTCCAGAGAGGATTCTATTTTGTGGTTGGCGGCGAGATATGGAAGATATGATAATGGTAATCTTGCATTGAGTCAACAGAGTTCCCAGAACATGGCCGGCATGGCTATGTGCATAGACTCTGGTGGTAGACATGACTGTCATTCTCCTATACCTAATTCACATTGTTCAGTTTGTAAACGTCATTTCTAATTTTTCCGCTATGAATCCCTTCACATTTTATTGCTTCTTGGCTCAACTAGGAATGGAAATAAGAATAAAATATAAGATTTCCTACTCATTTTTTCCAGTTATATGCATTTTAGGTATTAGAAGCCTTCTTAGCACCTGGTTCAGAGTTGTGGATGTTCAATGAAGTCTCAGAAAAGGAGAGAGACAGGAAGCTTACAGATGGTGGTCTTGATGTCAGCAGGTTGGAGAATATTGCACTTGTAAACCGTGAAGGGAATGCTGTAATAAGACGCCATCTAGAAAGCCTTCCCTTGGAGTCTTTTGATTCTGTAAGTAACATTAGTAAATCACCTTTTAGTGGTAGAGGTAATGACAATGTTCTCATGTTAATGTAGCTGAGGAAGTCCATTGAATTTGGTCTGTTTACTAGCCAATAGAGATGTTGCTTTTAGATTTTTATCTTCTTTTATGTTTCCACTCTTAGCTTCAAGAATTATGATTCTGGTATCTTCATATTGGGTAGATCTTAATTTTGGCTGATGAATCAGTGGAAGACTCTGCAATTCAGGCTGATTCAAGATCTCTTGCCACATTGCTGTTGATACGTGATATTCAGGTATGTTGTTCAATAGGTTAGCTCAGTCTACTTTTCTGGTTTTTCTTTGTAGTTTTCTTTTCTCTCAATCATTTCCCCCCCAGATGCATCATTTTACTTTTTGTTTATAGTTCAATGGGGGATGTATTGTTTCAAGCAAGTTTGAAGCCTCCCTTTTGTTTTTACTCATTATTTTTAATCCTTTAATTATGTGTTCTTTCTCTCTTGTTTCTTGTGCTGTGAGTTGGAAGATTTTGTGTATTATTTCTTTTCTGATTATTAATTTTATTTTTTCGGCCGTATCTTTGTAAATCTAAACAAATTAGATCCTCAGAAGTCCACGATTCTCTAAATTTGCTGTCTACTCAATCTAGTTAATTTTAATTTGTCCCTTATGTTACTTCAAACCACCTCACTAAGATTAAGCCCTGAAGAATTGTGCATAACTTATTTGTAAAATTTATGTTTATTGTCTGTGCAGGCAAAGCGGCTTCCATATAGAGAAGCTATGGTGTCCCAAATTCACAGGGGCAGTTTTTCGCAAGGCTCCTGGATCGGTGAAATGCAACAGGCTTCAGACAAATCGGTTATAATCAGTGAAATTCTGGACCCGAGGACTAAAAATCTGTTGACCATGTCGAAAATAAGTGATTATGTTTTGTCAAATGAGCTTGTGAGCATGGCATTGGCTATGGTTGCAGAGGATCGTCAAATAAATGAGGTACTGGAAGAGCTTTTTGCTGAAGAGGTAATGTAACCTTGCTGTCACATCTCATTGTTTAATAGAATTATAGAAGAGTTAACTAACTATATTTTGCCTTTAATGCAAAACAAATACACAAGATACTTGTAGTATGCAACAGTGTTTCTGCTTTAGTTCTCTGAGAAGTGATTTTCAGTGCTTGAATCATGGTATAATGTTCAGTGAGCTGGCTTTTTATTAGGATAGTATTGATAATCAAGCATTCTTGCTTATTGACATTTATATGATGACATTTGTATAGAAATGGATAGTAATTTATGTATACCCAAAAATTAGCTATAAATTTACAACCCAAAAAAAAAAAAAAAAAATCACCCCAAAAGTGTTGTCATTAAGTGTTTTCTCAAATGTGTGTGTGTTTTAAATTAAATAGTTAATTATTTTTTATTTAAATTTGTTTGTTAGGTCTTGGAGTGATTAGATAATTAAAAATGGTGCAGATCACGTTGGAATACATATTGTTATGAAAAATGGGTGGGCAATGAGTAGTGAAAGAAAAGATTCCTTCAATATCCAGTTGCTCCCTTTATTCACAAATTACTTGATTTTACGTGCCTCATATCAATGAGTGGGTGCTGCATTTGACTTTAAAATATGAAGACATTTCAGATTTAGGAACCTTTTAATTTGATTGTTTTCGTTTACTTGTTTAACTCGTTCTTTCTGAATCAAGTATGAAATATCATTACAGGGAAATGAGATGCAGATAAGAGGTGCAGATTTATACATCTGCGAGGCCGAGGGTGAGGAATTGAGTTTTTATGAAGTGCTCCTCCGTGCACGACAAAGGAGAGAGATAGTGATTGGATACCGGCTAGCTAACGCAGAAAAAGCTGTCATTAATCCCCCCAATAAAACAGCAAAACAGAGGTGGTCAGTGAAGGATGTTTTTGTGGTAATCACTGAGAAGGAATAAGGAGAAAATAAGAATCTTGAGACACAACTATTGTTTCTATCAATTTCCAAAGGGTAACTTTGTGAATAGTTTCAGTATACAATAATAAACAACAGCTACAGACAGATGAGTTCTTAGTTCTCAATTCTCCTGTACGATTTTGTATATATTGATGAAATGAAAATATTGCCGTCTCGTTGTATAGAATATAGATGTAAGTAACTTGATTGTCAAGTATCCATTGAATTTTGATAGAGTAACTTGATTGTCAAGTATCCATTGTATAAATCTCAATTTTATTCCTTACTATTGTTATTGATGTTTCATATTTTTAACAGCACGTTTGGTTCACGGAATGAATTTGGAGGCAGGGAATGGAATAGGTAAGGAATATAATAGGAATTGTATTCTGTTGTTTGGTTGGCTGAAGGAATAGACTTTAGTAATTGTATTACAATGTTTGGTTGGTTAAAGGAATAGAAATGGAATAGATTTTAAAGACATAAATACCCTTATATAAAATAATAATAATAATAATAATAATAATTAATAATAATAATAATAATTAATAATAATAATAATGAATATGATTATGATATATTGAATGTTATATATATATATATATATATATATATATATATATATATATATATATATATATATATATATATTTATTTATTTATATTTATATACATGTATATGCATGTGTGTGTGAGAGAATAATAATAATAATAATAATAATAATAATAATTATTATTATTATTATTATTATTATTATTATTATACAAATACATATTTATATTTATATTTACTTTCCCACTTATCCCACATCGGTTGGAGAAGTGAGGAATGGAGCCTTGAGACTCCTATAAAAGGAGCCTCAAAGCTCCATAATTTTAATTGCAATGCTCATCCGCTAGGCAAGCTTGCAATGCCCATCCGCTAGGCATGCAGATGGGTAGGCTACTTAATTTAGGAGCCAAGGCTCCATAATTAAAGAGTCTTATACAGTTATTTTTTTATTTACATATATATATATATATATATATATATATATATATATATATATATACTGTCAAGGGTGTATTATATATATGTATTGATATTGATAGATTGATGAATAAAAGTTATAATTAATTAAATATATACATTTATATAATACATTATATTTATTAAATAAATATAAATATTATATAATGTGCAAAGGGTATTTTTGGTATTTGTGACATAAAAGCTATTCCCGAGAGCATGGGAATAGCTAATACCAAGGCCCCCCCCTAGGAATGGCTATTCCCCTTGCGAAGGTAATAGCTCATTCCTAGGCATGCTATTCCCATGACAAAATGATCCAACCAAACGGTGAAATAGGTCTATTCCAAGGAATGTTATTCCATTCCTGACCTATTCCATGAACCAAACATGCCATAATTACGGAATATTAGATTTGTAAGTTCGTTGTAATTTTATCAAAGTTGATGGGGTGTAACAATTGCTTTATTTTGAAATTATATGATTTTGCAAAGTATATTCTGTTGGGATAAGAGTCAAATAGACCATCCAATTGTATACCAAAATGTAATTAACCCCTCGAACTAAATAAACTTTCAATTAAACCCATAAATTTGTTAAAATAGTGCAATTAACCTATTTAACATATAATAGTATGTTACCTTCAAGTCCCATGTCACTTAGGATTCCACATAAAATGCCATGTCAATTAATATTTTTAAAATTATTTTTTTAAAAAAGTAAATTAATTATATTATATATATTAAAAAAAAAAAAAAAAACTATGCCATGGCAGGCTGGCACTTGCCCAGCTTGCCACCATGGACTAGGCAAATTATGATGTGGAAACGTGCCCACCTTGCACAGTTCCACACAACGTAGTTTTCGCGACGCCGTTCTAATTAAAAAAAAAATTGTTTTTCACTTCCCTCTTCGCAATCGCATTGTTTCGTCTTCATTATGAATCTACAATATTAGGCTTGTGAACATGTGATAGAGCTATATGTTCATAATCTTATAAATATATGTTCATAATTATAGAGCTATATGTGCATAATTTTTGATGTTCATATTCCTAATTGTTGAACTCTGTATTCACAAATCACAAAACTATATGTTCATAATTTAATAACTATACAGTTTAGAAATTATAAATCTATAGTACAGATATTATAAATTTGAGTATAGAAATTATGAATCTACTGTATTTAAATTATAAATCTACGATATATAAATTATGAATCTACAGTATAGAAATTATGAATCTGGAACCGTGCCCAGGGCCCACCTTACAAGGTGGGCACGATTCCACAACATAACGTTCCCTGGAACTAAGCCATGGTTTCTTTGTTGAGAAGCCAACGGACCATGAACAAAGAAGCTCTTCTCCGTTCATGGAGAAGCCATCAAGCTTCTCTTCTCCGGAGAAGCTCGCTGGCTTCCCTATGAACGGAGAAGAGAAGCCATCGAGCTTATCCGGAGTGTGAACGAACGAATTTGGCGGCGGCGTTAACGGACGAATTCGGCGCCTTCTCGGCTGCTGGCAAATATTTTCTTTTATGTTTTATTTTTTTATTTAAAATATTTAAATGAAATATCATGTAAATGTCAAGCAAGCAAAATTAACTGGTTACTTTTTGGTCATTAAAAACATATTATATTTTATAAAAAAATTTAAAAGAAAATTATAAATGACAGGATAAGTAGACAAAACACTAGACCTGGCCTAGTACACTCTTGGTCTAACATGTCAAAGTAGTGAAGACATTCAAACAGTAACGATCAAGAGCAGAAAGAGTAGGTGGAACGGTTGCAAGAGCCCATGACTTATTAAGAACACCACCTCATCAAATAGCAGAAGTTATGGAGGGCTAGCGCAATTATGGAGGAGCGCCTCAATTACTAAAGAGCGATGACATTTATTCAAAGGAGTCGTTGTAGTTATTAGGAGGCCTTGTAACCGTTAGCTATTGTCCATTATAAAACTTGAGTCCACACGCTCTAAAAAACTTATACTCAAACTCACAAACAATACAATCCTGTTTACTTACAAACATACCCGGTAACATATACTGATATACCTACCGTCAATAAATAATAGTATCAATATTCAATAGAAATCCATGAATGTTTTGTAAGAGTGTATTATGTTTAGAGTTTTTAAATCACTTCTGTAGATTTTTAAAAATTAAAGTTCATAAAAGTGTATATATGTTTGTGATATAAATAAAAGACTTTTATGAATTTTTACAAAATCGAAAAATTTACTTTTTTGAAAGCAAAACCAGCTTGCATTAATTAACCAAATGAGAAATACAATCAGGCGGGGCAACATCCAAACCTGAGTAGCAGAATCAGAAATTGCCAATGCAGCAAGCACGTGAGCAACCTGATTATCAGTTCTTCGAACAAAAACTAAATGACAAGAAACAAGAGAGCCAAGTATGACAAAGCAAACATCATAGATAAAATCAAAGTACGATCTAAACGCAGGAGATTTGGCCAAATTCCTACAAAGAACCTGGCAATCCGAATGAATACGAACCCAAGCAAGCCCCTTGTCTCTAATCCACGACAATGCCTCATTACAAGTCAAAACCTCCGCCATATGGGCATCCACCGCTCCAAGCAAAGGACCCCTAGCCGGTACAATCCACCTCCCATCACTAGCTCGTAACCAGAAGGCGTGATCGTTGATGCATGAGTTTCCGAGTCGTGAGTAGCATCGAATCAGCACAAATAGTCATAAGAATGCTCTTCCAGCACAGCAGACAGACCCCCTCCCCCGGTTGATGCTATAAATCTTTTTTTTTTCACTAAGTTGTTAACAGATGAGATAATTGATTTCTGATTCAACATAACTAGGATAAGGATTACAATACTAATAGCATAACAAGTCTACGTAAATAACCCCTATCTACTAGGAAAGCCACAGAAGACTAAGCCTACTACAAAGACTAATAAATATAGTAACAATAATAGGTGACAAATAATAATATTGCTAACACACCCCCTCAAGCACAAGGGTGGTAAGCACAACATTGAGCTTGTCACGTAGCGGTGCAAAGCGTGGCCCGGGAGCGGTTTGGTGAAGATATCTGCCAGCTGATCTTTAGTTGAGACATAATTAACCATTAAATCCCCGGATGCTACCTTGTCGCGGACGAAATGAAAATCTATCTCCAAATGCTTAGTCCTGCCGTGAAACACTGTATTTGCACACATGTAGGTTGCTCCTAGATTATCACACCAGAGCGTCGGTGGCACACCAGTGTGAAGCCCAAGTTCCCGGAGTAACGACACAACCCAAGTGACCTCGGCTGCAACATCAGCTAGGGCTTTGTACTCGGCTTCAGTCGACGACCGGGCCACTGTACGTTGCTTCTTGGAGAGCCATGAAATGAGAATGGATCCTAGAAACACTGCGTAGCCACCTATGCTCTTCCTGTCGAGCGGACATCCTGCCCAATCCGAGTCGGAGTATGCATGAAGAGCAGAGGACTCAGAGATCGTGAGTCGCAGGCCGTAGTCAAGAGTACCCTTAATATACCGTAGTACCCTCTTAACCAATCCCTAGTGGTCAGTCGTAGGTGTGTGCATAAATTGACAAAGTCGGTTTACAGCATAGGACAAATCCGGTCTTGTGATAGTTAAGTATTGCAAGGCCCCAACCACACGACGATACTGAGTTGGGTTGTCGTGTGGTGCATCAGTAGATGAGGCAGGTTGAGTAACCGCAGTCGGAGTGGCTAGTGGTTTGCAGTCAGTCATACCAGCTCGACTCAAAATATCTTTCATGTACCTGCGCTGGGACAGCATGAGACCAGTGTCAGTCTTGACAGTCTCAATCCCGAGGAAGAACCCGGGTGTTCCAAGATCTCGAATATTAAACGTCGAAGACAGTCGATGCAGCAGAGAAGTGATGAGAGATGGATCATTTCCCATCATAATAATGTCATCGACGTATACTATTAAGTATACACGTGAGGCACCAGCCGAGTAATGGAAGAGGGAAACATCTGTCTTTGATGACGAAAAACCTGCAGAGAGTAAATAGTCATGTAATCTTTTGAACCACGCCCGCGGGGCTTGCTTGAGCCCATACAAAGACCGTTGTAAGTGACACACGTGATCTGGGTGCGTCGGATCTTCATAACCCGGAGGCTGCTTCATATAGACTGTTTCCGCTAAGTGCCCATTTAAAAAGGCATTGTGGATGTCGAGTTGCCTCAGAGTCCAGCTGTGTGAGACAGCTAGCGAAAAAAGGAGTCTGACTGAACCCCTTTGCTACCAGGCGGGCTTTGTAACGCTCGACCGAACCATCAGTGGTGCGTTTGGTACGAAAAACCCACTTGCACCTGATGATGTTCATGTCTGGTTTGGGCGGTACAAGGGCCCAAGTATTGTTATGTAATAGAGCGTTGAACTCCTGGTCCATCGCATCACGCCATTCTAGATGCCCAACCGCTTGCGAATAACAGGTGGGATCAGTGGTTGCACTGAGGGCTTGAAAATCTTCTCCAGTACCCCGAGTCATATGCCGAAGCCTCATTGTATGCCCTCGATCTTGAGGTTCGGTCCGTACGGCTCGCTTTCTGCGAGTTATGGCCTTAACAGGCCCTTCAATAGCCAAGGGGGTTGACTCTTGTGCCAAGGGTGTTGGACTCGGCGGCCTTTGAGAACCGGAGTCGATAATGACCGTGGGAGGCTGATGTGATATAATCGGGCCAGCAGCCCAAGGTAAGGCTGGTGACACCATTGAAGTCGTGTTCTATGCTGTCAATTCTGAAAAAGGGAAAACAACCTCATCAAAACGTACATGACGGCAGATATAGACTTTCCCACTTGTTAAATCCATGCATCTATAGCCAATAAAGGAAGATGGATAACCTAGGAAGACACAGGGTGCCGAGCGGTAATCCATCTTATGCCGATTGTAGGGCCTAAGATAGGGATAACACCGACACCCGAAGATATGGAGGAAAGTGTATGGTGGTTTGGTTTTATAGAGGCGACTGTATGGGCTTTCGGAATTTAGTACTGAAGTAGGCAAATAATTGATTAAGCTTGTGGCTGTTTCAAAGGCGTATTCCTAATATTGTTGCGGGACACAGCCTTCAGCTAACAGAGCTAGCCCTGTTTCAACTATGTGACGGTTCTTTCGTTCAACTCTGACATTTTGTTCGTGCGTATACGCACATGATTGGCGATGAACAATGCCCAATTTTTCGAATATATGATGTAACTTGCGGTATTCCCCGCCTAAATCAGACTGAACAGTTTTGATAGAACGTGAAAATTGGCGTTCTACCATGACTCGAAACGACTCGAAACTTTTATACATATCAGATTTTACCCGTAAGGGATAAAACCAACAAAATCGAGAATAATCATCTATGAAAAGCAGAAAATAACGAAATCCACTAGTAGAGATTACAGGAGCCGGACCCCATATGTCCGTGTAAATTAAATCTAACACATTGCTACTTGATAATGAAACTCTATCTAAGGGAAATCTTGAAGATTTGCCAAGTTGACATGAGGTGCACAACCCGCCCGGTTTGGTTTTATTTGGTGTTACTGGACACAACTTTAAGACTTGATTCTGAACATGCGCATGGGGATGGCCCAACCTGTGGTGCCAGACAACCGGTGTAGTACGGGATGTGAGGAAAGCAAAGTGAGACTGGGAAACGGGAAGCTTGTGTAACCTGCCCGCTGTGGAACCTCTAAGCAGAACCGCCTGAGTGACCGAATCCTTCACAATGAAACAATCTTTGTGAAATTCAACAAAAACACGATTATCATTCGTTAAACGATAAACAGATAATAATGGGACCGAAAGCTCAGGAACATATAAGACATTTGTTAAATTTAGAGTTTTAGACACGGATGGTATAGAAGCATGGCCAACTCGTGAGATCGTCAAACCTGCGCCATTACCAACACGCAGGACATCACCACCAGTGTATTCATCAGATTGCGTCATCATGTCCGGCGTGGCATGAGTGGTGGCGCCCGTGTCCGGGAACCATCCTGGAGCGGAGGTGGCAGTCGCGTCTTCATCACTGGGAACAACTAGATTCGCTTGCGGTGGTTGTTGCGGGGCGTACCGTTTGTAGCAATAAACGACCGTGTGCCCTTGTGCCCGGCATATTTGACAACGAGGAGTGCCGCCCCTGCCATTGCGACCACGACCACCTGAGCCGCCTCTGCCGCGACCTTGATTCTGGCCACCAGAACCGCCGCGCCCTCCATTGCCACCACGACCAGCGTAGAACGCCGCCGGAGCCGCAGGATCAGCACCCGCCGGGAACTCATCGGCGTGTATAAACTCCTGTGCGCGCAGGAAGTTCGCAATCTGCGGAATGGTGACAGCATTCCCCGCTGCCGTCAGAGAAGAGGCCATCGCCCAATACTCCGGGCGTAACCCCCGGAAGACGAACATGTTTTGCTCGTCGAGGGAGATTGGCCGACTGGCATGCGCGAGGTCCTCCACCAATAATTGAGCACGCCCAAGGTACTCTGCCGTGCTGCTGCCTCCCTGTCGAAGACCATGGAACTGGCCGAGGAGGCCGAGAGTTCTCACACGGGTGGAACTGCCAAGTGCCGCGCCAATGGATTCCCAGACAGCTTTGGAGGCGGATTTGCCAACCGCGAGGTGCATCACCTCATCCGAGAGGGATGAGATGCGAAGAGACAATAGCGTCTGGTCTTGCTTGATCCACGCTTTATACGCTGGATTAGGGACCGGAGTGGATGTGGACGCCGTAGACTCACCCGTGACCGGAGGACCATCAATCATTGCCGGTGGACATGGAGTCTCTCCATCAACGAAGCCCATGAGCTCCTGACCACGTAGGAAGGGGACTAATTGAGTTCTCTAGAATAGAAAGTTTCGATATGTTAGCTTTATCGAAACGAAATGGTGGGCACTGGTCAGGGTATTTTGGCTTGAGGCCGGAGAGGGAGTCCCACCGGCGGTAATGGTGCGCTCGGAGGAATTGGTGGACATGGCGATGATCGGCCGGTTTGTTTTGGGGAGAGAGTCGATCGGATGAGGGTGGTGAGAGGAGAGAGAATGTCTGGTCTAACTGATACCAGATGAGATAATTGATTTCTGATTCAACATAACTAGGATAAGGATTACAATACTAATAGCATAACAAGTCTACGTAAATAACCCCTATCTACTAAGAAAGCCACAGAAGACTAAGCCTACTACAAAGACTAATAAATATAGTAACAATAATATGTGATAAATAATAATATTGCTAACGTTAACAAGTTTAAATATCACCTTCGAATATAATAATTTGTACATTATACTTATTTTCTTGTACACTTATAAATTTTTTTTATTAGAATTTGTAATTTTTTAGATGACTAGAAAAACTTATAATTATTAGTTGTGGATGTATAGTAGTTAAATCCGAGTAATAACATGCAAAGTGCAAACTATACAAAAGAGGTGAACCTCACTAGGAAGCAAGACTTATGTGACTGCTCGACCAAAATGTATTTTGGAAGCCTTAAATTTCATATATGGAAATAATGAATTTCAAGAATTACAGATTCTTAAAAAAAAAAAAGAAAAAAAAAGAAGACAAACTTCCAACAACAAAGCAGAAAAGAAAAGATCAATCACAGAAGGCAAAATGAAGAATTCCAATATGACATTTTTAAAGAAGCTTCATATCATCATCGTCTGTCTTTGGTGGCGGCGGGGTCTTTTGCTGTTGTGGTTGAGTGACGGCTTTAGGCGGAGGTGGTGGTGGTGGAGTGACGGTTATAGGAGGAGGAGGCAGTGGTCGAGTGACGGGTCTTGGAGGAGGAGGTGGTGGTCGAGTGACGGGTCTCGGAGGAGGAGGAGGTGGTCGAGTGACGGGTCTTGGAGGAGGAGGTGGTGGTCGAGTGACGGGTCTCGGCGGAGGAGGTGGTGGTCGAGTGACGGGTCTCGGTGGAGGTGGTGGTCGAGTGACGGGTCTTGGAGGAGGAGGTGGTGGGTTAAAGGCTCTGCAATTTTTCCTTATCTCTCCAACTTTCCCCATGAGAACTTGAGTGTTCCCGAGCTTGATCAAAGCATCAGCAAAGCTCTTCCGAAAAATATTTTGATCGGATGCTAAACGCGCCACAATCCTTGCGCTAGACCCATCCAATGCAAGCGCTTGATCAATGTTCAAAACCCCTTTTCTCATCCTTATCTGCTTATAAAACTCGTTATCCACTATAAGCGACGTATTTTGGTCCAAGAACACTGCCGGATCCTTCCTCGGAAGGACCGAACATGTCCGTTTCAGTTGGGCTTTTAAGCCGGCATCCATGGTACGATCTGTGGCCGACAGCCGGTTCTGGACAAACCCACAATGGGTAATTCCAACGGTATGGGCTCCTAATAGCGTGACCATATCGGTTAGGGAGAAGCCTTTGTCGGTGAAGAATGTTAGTGCTTGGGAGACGGAGAGATCAGGGGCGGGGAGGTTGACTTGTGCCGGGTCGGAGACAAGGCCGTCGCGTCTCCCGGTGGGAATGGTGTAGCTGGGGCCGCCGGCCATGGCCACGGCGTCGCGGGTGGCGAGGGCTATAATGTCAGCACAAGACACCGTGGAAGGGCAGGCCGCCTCTAGCTTAGTCTTGATTTGGTCGATCAGCTCGTATCCTCGTACTGTCTGGTTTGGTCCTGCGTTTTTCTCCGATTGTTTTGTCTTAGTTGATTTCGGATCTATCAATATTGATGCATCACAACCCTAAATTCATCAAAACAAGAAATGTCAACTTCTCTCACTAGTTTGAAAGACAGTATTTAGATAATAGAAAGTCCGCAAATTATTGTGTGCACCGTCGATCCAAAACCACGTCGTGAATTTTATTAGTTAGAATAATGTACAGTATGTGTTAGAATAATGTACATTATATGTTAGAATAATGTATATTATGTGTTAGAATGAAACTTTTGAGGTAAGATAATGTATTTTATTAGTTAGAATAATGTATTTTATGAGTTAGAATAATGTAATTTAATTTATGAGTTAGAATAATGTACATTATAAGTTATAAAAATGTATGTTGCAGTGTGTCGCGTGAAAAAAAATGCGCGAAACGACGTCGTTTTTGGACCGTGGTCTACACAGTTGTGTAGACCCGATCCACGCAATAACTGTTGTTGGAAGTCAAGAACAAGTTTCAAAACTAGGATTGGAGAATGAGAGGCTTTGGGGTTGGGGATTTCAACCTTTTGGGAGAAAGAAAATGTCAATTTTTTTAAAAAAATTTATGTGGGGTGGGGTGGGGTTCATATTCTTATTTTGCTTGAGATGCTGAACAAAAAAAAAAAAAGTCAGGAAAAAATAAAGTATAAGAAAAATGCAATTTTCATCTTTAGCGATTGTTTATTGTGTCATTGTTATATTTAATTATGATTTTTTTAATTTTGGCAAATTATATTCTTGGTTTTCATTTGTTCGTTATCATTACTCATCTTTTTAAAATTTTTTTATTCCATAATTTAATAAATATGACTATTAGCTAACATGTAATTTAATTATTATTCAATTAAAAGAGTTTATAAGAAAGGGAGAGAAATTACATGTTGACACAAAATGTGCTTGAATGATAAAATTACATGTTAAACAATTTTTTTTATATGATGATGAAATTACATAAATTTAAACAAATGTTTTTTTTTTTTTTTTTGAATGCTACTAGTTATTACAATGTCTAATATAATTATGATGAATAAATAAAATTAATTATTGTAATGAGATAAAATTAAAAGAATATTATTAATGTGGCAATGTCAGTCGTGAACTAAAAGTGGAAAGTGAAGACTAATCTAGTCAATCCATTTGGGTAAATCAACGTACTAAAAGTTGACAATGTGTAATAGTGCACAAACTACGTAAAAGAAGTAAATTGAATTAAGAAAATTTGTGCAATGAACTCAATTGAGAAAGTATATGAAAGAATCAAATTCGTGATTATACTGAACCTACTTAACTACTCCTTTTGTACTTTGAAGCATGCAAGAACAAACAATTTTTATGAGATGGTAGAGTGTGTATATATATATATATATGTGTGTGTGATTTGAAGCATTATAGTATGTACTCAATTTTACTTACCCTAACAAAGCAGTCGTGAAAATACATACGAAGCAATGCCGGTGTAGTGGACCGGTCTTTGGCGAACCCGGTTCGGACAACCTCCCGGACGATCGATTCCGCCCTTGGACAGGTGGAGCCGTAAAATCCAACCTTGAGTTGAGCTGAGACGTTCGCAAGATGATGAACAATACAGAAGAAGACTATGAACAATTTATTCATCATTTCCAGTTTCTTCAACTTCACCATCTTCAAAACACCAATTTATTCACTATTTTTTTTTCTTAGCTTGAAACTTGAGAAATCGCCAAGCACTTATATATTGAGAGAATATTAGTGACATGGAGAACACATTTTGAAGACGTGCAAGGTCAAAGATCAATGAATACTCATAGAACGTGGTTACAAATAAGCACTCTTTTTATTATTATTATTATTTTTTTTTTTTAAATAAAGAGTTAATTCATTAATCATAAGTTGGAACAGTTACAATAAAGATCCATAGAATGATAAAACATTATTTACCATCAGATATAGAAACAACTTTCCTAACAATGCTAAAAGAAACTTGTTATTTTTAAGCAACGAACCGTAATTACCATTCGAATGTGTATAGGGCAAACCCCATTCTCGTTTAATAGTTGGCAAATTATATGAGTAAATGAAAGATCTTGTGCGACGGGGTTAACCGAAAAAAGTATAGTTTTATTTTATTTTATTTTATTTTATTATTTTGGTTTGATTATTTTTTAATTTTCTTAACTAATTCATTGATATATGTTAGGTCAATTGAAGTAGATGGAGATAGCAATTCACGTGCAATTAATTATACATAACAATATCTATAGTCTTATTAGTAATGTGATATAATCTGATTGGAATGGATTATAAATTCGTCTAGTTGCACAAATTTTAATTCAATTAGCAATAATTACAAACAAACTCGCTTAGCACAATGATTGACAGAAGATATTGAAGGATTTTTCTTCTCCCTAAAGTTTGAATTGCCAACCTTAATAAGGGCTCCCTATACCCCGATCTGATAGAGCATGTGAGAGGATATAAATCACGGTAACTCAGTGGCTCTGTAGATATGGTCAAATATCAATGCGCATAAGGGATCTACTCACTTTGTGTATAATTCCACATTATCGCTGTCGAGTTAAAAATTTTACTCTCTTCTCCTAAATACTGTCTACTGAACCAGTGACTAAGATCGTGCGGGCTTATCGAAGGATTTTTGCTCAAGATCGTGATGAAGCTCTGGTATTCAACTAATTATATATTATTCCAAACCAGAGTTTCACTGCGAATAAAGAAGTATATACTATTAAGGACTTTATGGTTTACTGGTATTCGGTTGTTCCCTTATGTAAGAGGTCTAAGGTTTAAGCCTCGGTGGGTATCCCCTTCCTTTGTAATAAACAAAAAATATACACTTGTTATATTTAGCCCCTAATTATTAATCTTTTTATATTTAATAAACAATTTAAATTTATTTGTCACATTTAGTCTTTCAATTAATAATATGCATGACATCGACTCATCGAAATTGAGCTAATGTGTAACTGGGATGTTTTAACTTTTAAGGTGCAAATCCTTTCATTTTCTATTTTACAATGCCCGTGTGTATAATGTTAATGCATATGTTATTTGCATGTATTTCTTTTTTTCTTTTGACAATGAGGGAAATTTATAGTCATTATTTGAGGGTGTGCAGTAGGTAAATTGTACTCTTATATAATATATATACTATATGACACGATTTAAGGGATAAAGTACAAATAAGCCACTGAACTATTTAGGAAAAAGTAATTAAGCCATCGAACTCAAATAACCCCCAAATAAGCCATTGAACCCGGAAAAAAAGAGCAATTAACATTTTTAACAGGTTAACTCCAGGTTTTTACTGACTGAATTGCCAAATGTTTATTTTATTTACGTTTTTTTATTATTATAATCCATCTACATAGTAATATATTTTAAAGTAATTATAATAAAAGTAGTTTTGTCTTGTCTAGATCTAATTTATTTATTTATTATTATTTTTTTAAACAAAAGATCTAGTGAAAAAATAATAATAAATAAACAAATTAAATCTCGACAAGATAAAACTATTTTGATTATAATTATTTTAAAATATAATACTATCCAAGTGGATAATATTAATAAAAATAATAATAAACGTAAATAAAATAAACATTTGGCAATCCAATCAGCAAAAACTTGGAGTTAACCTATAAAAAATGTTAATTGCTCTTTTTTTCAGGGTTCAATGGCTTATTTGCTCTTTTTTTCCGGGATCAATGACTTATTTGATGGTTATTTGAGTTCGATGGCTTAATTGCTGTTTCCCAAATAGTTCAGTGACTTATTTGTACTTTATCCCTAGACTTAATTGAGAGGGTATGTATTGGTATTAATTGAACTCATGAACTTTAAGTTGGAAAAGATTGCAAGTCAATACATAAAAGGAGTTGAGAAATATGTGCTTACCAAATCATATATCAAGGCCGGATTGAAGAAATAATAAGGTACTTGTGATTATTGAAGAAATTATTGAAGAAATAATAAGGTACTTGTACTCGCATGGGCAGCTCAACTGGTCACAGAGGTGAACCTTTAGAAGTGAGGGAAGTTCCTTGTGCGCAGTGAGCACAGGTCTAGCCTCTAAGAATAATAAGGTACTTGTGATTCAGTCAATCTTTACCATTACTCCTAAAATCAAGGGATAGATGACAAATTATTGGAGTCTAAGGGTCTGTTTGGAAACCCGGAAAATGACTTCTGGAAAATGAACCAAACACCAAAAGACAGTTTTCCATTGTGCAGCCAAACACAGGAAAGGAAAATGACTTCTGGAAAATAACTTATTTTCCAGAAGTCATTTTCCGGGTTTCCAAATAGACCCTAAAAGAAAAAGAAATCATTTTTGATTTTATTCTACAAAAATAAATATAATAACGACTAGGATTTAATTTAGATTATTCCTATATGTTTCCAGGGAAAATTGGCCATCGTTGAGATCACGAAACTCAACGCCCATCGGTAGAAAACCTTGAAAGTGGTGATGGATAGAGTTGTAAAGGTTATGGAATTCACTCCTGTATTAATGAGAACAACAGTATTTATATACAATGAAGCTAAGCAGGGATAAAATAGGGACGTTACAACAAATCAGAGTTAAACTATGGAGAAGACCAAGAATATGCCCGGCAAGATGGAGGGTCCATCAGAGACTCCAAGCTTGAAACGAAAATACAATACAGAAACGGTGTATGCCCCAATGGCTTTGTTAGCATATTAGGAATATGATCTTTAGAAGGAATGAACTGAACACGTATGGAACCATATGCAACCCGCTCATGAACAAAAAAGTAATTCAATGCTAAATATATGCTTCATGCATGAGTGATATATTGGATTTGCGCAGACATATGTGGCACCAAGACTGTCACACAGCAAAGTAGGCGGCTAACTGAGACGAACCCCTAACTCACGAAGCAAGTTTTGAACCCAAAAAACCTCAGAAGCAGCTAGCGTTAGCTAAGGCTCAATATTTAGCTTCTGTAGATGACCTATTCACAAACTTTTTGTGAATAGATTTCCAAGAAATAATATTATAGCCCAAGTAGAGAGCATACACTTTGGAATCAGAGAATGCAGATAATGTAAGAGGAAATCCACGACGAAGGAATAACCCATGATGAACAATTCCTTTTAAATATCGCAAACCTGCTTGAGAGCCTGCCAGTGTAAAACATGCATGTACTAGCCAACCTATTCACTGAGAATGACACATCAGGCCTAGTAAAAGCTAATTAAATACTGAAGCAAGCCAATAACCTTGCGATATTCAGTAGCACCCACAAGAGGTGATCCATTAACTAAGGACAATGAGGTAGTAACACTAAATGGTGTGCTGACTTCCTTTGCTTCCTCCAGGTGATAGTGTGCAAGGTAAAAAATAAGCCAGATGCAGTGGGAATGAGCTTAACTCCAAGAAAATGGTGCAACGACCCAAGGTCTTTTATAGAGAACCGCTTAGCCAAGCAACAAATAAACTCATCCAAAAAACTATAATCATTCCCGGTCAAGATTATATCATAAATGTACACTAAGAAGTAGGCAACTACACCACTCACAAAATAATACACAAATAATGACGCATCAGCTTGTGATTTTTGAAACCCGGACTAAACAAAAAAAAAAAAAAAAAAAAAAAAAAAAAAAAGACAACTCCAAGTACTAGGCACAAGGCGCGTGTTTGAGACCATACAACACCTTGCGAAGTTTATACAGATGCGTAGGAAATTGGGAATCAACATACCCGGGTGGCTGGACCATGTAAATATCCTCATGTAGTGTGTCATGCAAGAATGCGTTATTCACGTCGTTTAATTGTTTAACGGACCAGCTCTGAGATAACGCAATACAAAGAACCATTCGATCTTTTGCAGGCTTAGTTACCGGAATAAATGTCTCAAAATAGTCCCTTTCTGATTCTTGCAAAATCCCCTTTGCCACAAGCCATGCTTTATGCCTATCAACAGACCCATCATATTTCCTCTTGACACGGAAAAGCCATTTGTAACCAATTGGTGTTTGAGCAGTGCGTGGAACCAACTCCCAAGTACAATTTTTTAAGAGTGCATTATATTTAGAATCCATCGCTTGTTTCCAAAGGGAATCTTTAAGGGCATGGGTGACATTGGAGGGCTCAAGAGCAAGAGGCATAGAGTGAGCAGTGATGAAATTAATAAAATTGTATGGTAGTACTTGGCATTGCGTTTGCGGGTTTGGGTTGGACGTTGCGGGCCAAGTTGTTGACGTTGAGTGACATTAGCTGTTGCTATAAGAGATTGTTGCACTTTTTCATTCTCTTTTAAAATCTGCTTGTGGTTAATGAGGACATTCGGAGTATGAAATAGGAGTTTCTTTGATTGGATTGCAGCAACAGTAGGAGTAAACTGATCTCCTAATTGTGTGAGGACATGGACAATAAGATCTTCCTCACTAATGGGACTCTGAGCCAATGCTAAGTCATCAACAATAGCACGCATTTTCTGTAAGAACTCTAACAGTCTTAGGTCCCTTTGGATTCATCACTAATTTGGCTTTGAAGGAGATGATTCGCGATCTCGAGGAATTCGCAAAGCTAGTGTTGAGACGCTCCCATGCTTGATGAGAGGTTGAAACCAAGGATATGAGTGGCTAGATAGTTTCAGAACAGCTACCAACAAGTATAGCACTAATAATAATTTGGTCTTGACGATACCAAATTGTATAGCAGGGGTTGGTAGTTGTACGTACTACATCAAGATACTGATACGGATCATTTGCAAATGTTTTCTCAGATCATTAAGAAGCATAAAAGCATGCTTCTTTTCTACGAGGGGGCTGTTCTTCTGTTGTTGGTAAGAGGTCAGTCATGGAGACATTTTGTGGATCATCTGCACCTTCTGAGGCTTCTATTCTCCCTCCATTTTCAGTAGATGTGTAGTCCATCCCTTAGGGATTGTTCTGCTGTATAAAACGACTCGATCCACATAGAAGACCTGCAAAATGTATACAAATAAATATTAGTTTTTGTTTTAGTAATCTGTCTGTTTCTTTTCCCATTGTTAAGGCTACTCACTGTTAGAAATAATATAGCGCCAGTGAACTTTTGTGTTACATTCTTTGCCCATACAATCTTGCAGCCCACAAGTATTTTCAGCATAATAACCTATTGAGGTTTATTGCCACTTTATACGAGAGAATGTTGCATCCGGAGACATTGTCACCACATTTGTTGGGTCAAATGATCAACTATCCGATATCTTCACTAAATCTCTTCATGGACCTTGGATTGATTTCATTTGTAGCAAGCTAGGAACATTTGATTTGTATGCTCCAGCTTGAGGGGGAGTGTTGGAAATATCTCCTTGAGCAGCCTCTCTTCAGCCTCATTATGGCAGTATCTCCTTGAAGGGAGGAGTGGTTGTCTTGGGCAGATTTTTTCATTTATTATGTCTCTTCCCTATGCTCCTTCTTTAGCCTATATATTGTATTGTAATCTGATGTTCCTAGTAAGAATGTAAGAAATAGAAACTACTTTCAGTTCCTCAAGTCTTTCAACAAAGACCAAAAGCCCTAATTCTACTATTATCAAGTCTGAAATGGGTGATTAGAATAAATTTGGCAAGTTTCCTATTTTGAGCAGTGTTGAAAATGGCAAGTTCCCTGATGATTAAAGTCTAGTTTGGACTCCAAACTCCATTCCTTATATACTCAAAAGTGTCCAAAGTAAATATTTCAAGATGTGGCAATGCATGGTTACAAAAGGTTCATAAATTTCCTAAATCAAGATTATTATACAGTTAAATTGGACTAGACTAGATACATATGTAATAGATTTGAACAGAAGTAAAACTAAACCAGAAAGCATGATATGGTCTTGAAGTAAAATTTGGTAAGTACTGCAATAATCATCATATCTTTCCCTGCACAGTAACTCTCTGGACTCTACTTTAATGATATCAGCATTTAATCAGAAGTTAATAAGAGGGCAATGATTAAGCGGAATAAATGGACCTCTATCCTGTGATGCCAAGAGAAGTCTTCAATTGTCTGACAATGTAAGGTAATGTCTTTAAGCAGTGTTGAGTTGACAGGTCAACACACGACTCCAAGACCTTGATGGCATTGCCATCCTGCTGGTGTTTTGCAGCTACAAATTTTTCTTGACAAAGTGTCAATGACCTTTTCATGTTTTCCTGTATACATAAAAAAAATGCATAATTATCACACAGGATTAAAAATAGAGTTTGTAAATATTATGCTCGAGATTTAAACAAGTAAAACATTAGAATGCGCTTATGCAGACAATATGTTGTTCAGTACGTTCATATTGTATTGAAACACTAGTTTCAACATACAAGATCAAAAGGGAAATTTTCCATTAGACACACATATAGGCTCGCATAGTTCGGAGAAATTACTCCTACATTTGCGGGGCACACATCCTAAATGATAACAGATAACCTAATCCACTATACTTTGTTTAAGTACAAAGTTGAATGGAAATCTACACAACAATTGAATTCCTCTAATTGTTGAAACCCTAAATAAGTACCGCTACATGAATTGGGAACACAAGCCCCCTTGTATTTCCAAATTCTTCAAACACCGTATAGAACTACTACTGTACAAATCACCCGCTTCTGCACGTGAACGTGTTGTGATCACCGATTATTGACCTTGGTTGATGGATGGAGATGATGCTCAAGAAATCTTTTAAAGCATAGGATGTAAGAATCTTCCTTAAGCTCAAGAGTGTTCCCTAAAGAATAGGTCATAGAACACATGCTTATAGAGGCGTTGGAAGTTATGTTGTAACACATCTCTGCAAACAAGAATACCACATCCTTGCCCTGGAAGGCCTTTTTGATCACTTGCATGACACTACCCTAATTATCACAGTAAAGGACTAACAAAAAAATCATATCTCCCAAATTATTACTATACGAATCTAATAATTATTATGGTAATTAAGCTAATAATCTATACTATAATTAAAAACAAAATCCTATTTACTTGATTTCCCGCCCAAACAATAGTAAATAGTAAAGGTAAATTAACAAAGGAATAGAAATATTTCACAATAATACTCTGCATCATCATCAATTAAAAATGGAACAAAATTAGGTAAATTGGAAAATAAATGAATATTAATAATTGACGGAAAATTAAAAATGAAAAAAAAAAAAAAAAAAGAAACGGAAATTAGGTTACTTGGAAAATGAAAAGAATATTAATAATTGACTGAAACAGAATGTTGCAGAGAATCCCCAGAGCATTAGCAAATCAAAAACACCTAGCAATCAGAGGTACAACTCCAGATTCGCCCCTTTGAGTGATGTAAATGACGACTGTGACAACCCAAAATAGTTTTACTTGTCTAAATAGTTTTTGATCACTTGCATGACACTACTCTCAATTCTCAAAGGGGCAACCCAAATTATCACAGTAAAGGACTAACAAAAGAGGCACCAGGAAAAAATAATGACAGAACATTACCATTGAAACCAAATTGTTAAGAATTCCTTTGTCAAATCGGGAGGTGTTTCAGCCACCCCAAGCTTCAAGCAAATTAATAGTATTTCTAAATGAAGCTACTTATCTATTGAAGTCTCAGTTAAGACTAAATCCACTCATCAGAACCCTTGTTACTTGTTAATTGCAAGATGTTTATTGTTGATTTTTCCCTGAAAAAATCATGGCACATATTTTATCCTCTCTAAAGCCAATGAGAATAAAACCACCCCACAATATATGAAATCCATCTATCCACATTCCATGTCCACTTTATGCTTCAAAATCTGAATCCAGTTTCTCCCACCCATTTAAAGCAACAACTTTGTTGAACAAGCTTAAATGCTAAATTCTTGTAAGGTTCATCCTTACCTGCCATTCTAAAGAAATCTAAAACAATATATATTAAATTCAAAACCCTTCTATCTTCAAGTGTAACAAGATTCTTTTGGAGACTAAAGTCAAATCTTCAACCCATGGCATTTCTTATCCAATATGGAATATGCCAAATTGCAGATATCAGAATTTAAATTCCCACAGCTCAAACTTCTGCTATGGAATCCAAACACAAAAATAAACATAAGTTATCCAAGAAAAATGGTGTTGAAATTAAGTTTAACATCAAATTCATATACCCATATGCATACACTAGCACAGAGAGATATTCCCATGATCTTCAAATAGATAGTTAACTGCAATAATTCTTCTAAGTGTATTTACCTCATTTATTTCTTTATATACACAGATAAATCTCAATCTCGACATTGATAAAAACCATAATCACCAACCAAAATTTCAGTATGAACAGGCATTATTAAAAACCTAAAAACGAGTAGGAAATTTACTGCAAATTTAGCCGTTTCATCCTCCACAAGATAATGGGCTTTGAGAACAGGGACGCTGCAATACTCCACACAGTTCCCTATCTCCTCTTGAGTTTTTCTCCTATCGAAGCACTCATAAGCGCATTTGAAGTATGCTTGCTGCAAATCACCAATAGAACCAACACGCAGGTTCAACGCTCGAGCACCCGGATAACATAAACATGACTAGAAATTGGAAACGCCGAAGAAATGGAAGAAACCTGAAGGGTGAAATTGACGTGGTCTTTGACACCGGAAAGTTGGGCCTCCGTAGCTGCGGTGATTTCATTGAGTTTTTGCCTCATTATCTCCGTTACCATTTGCTCTTCGGCGTCTGCCAAGTGATCCATCTATCACTCAGGACTGCAATTTGCTCTACCCGATTTGCGCATTATAGGCATTGAATTGAAAGAGAGTATGAGACTTCAAGGAATTAAACTAACCAAGAAAATTACTTCTCAAGAATGTTTCTAAAAGAGTCATTTCTATGGTCCGTTTGTAAGTTATTTTTTGAAATTTTCAATATTTGGTTATCCAAAAGAAACGAATTCAAAGAAAAATATTCATTTTAATCAACAAAAGAAAAGTTAATTATCAAAATAGTCTCTTGATTATAGTGGAATTATCAATTTGATTTTTGACTATTTTTTTTAATCAATTAAGTCTCTCAACTTTAAAAACTTTAACCAATTTGGTCCTTCGTTTGTTTGACCGTTAGTCAACCGTTAACTTGGGACCAAATTGGTAATTTCGCTATAGTCAAGGGACCATTTTGGTAATTAATTTTAGGAGTGGACAATTCGGTTTAGTTTTCTCGAATCGACCGAACCGAACTAGTTTGGTTCAGTAATATACCGAACGGTATTGGATCCGACCGGTATTGGATTCTTATATACTGGACGGTTCAATAAAAAATCGATCTGAACCGATCCGAATTGTTCGATAAAAGATGAACTGAACCGAATATTGTTCGATTTTTTATTATATAATAATAATAATAATAATAATAATAATAATAATAATAATAATAATAATAATAAATAAATAAATAAATAAATAAATAAATAAAAAGTAAATCCAAGTCCCTTGCTCCATGCTCTGCAGTTCAACTCATATTCTCACGGGTATCTCTCGTAAATGTTTTATTTGATTTCTTTATGGTTTGTTATCAAAAGTTCTATATTATGTGTTATGGTGTTTACATAGTCCATATCCAAAGTCTAATATATAACAAAATAGCAATCCAAAATTCAAACGGTATTCGGTTCGATTTGGTTTTTACCGAACAATTCAATTCGGTTCGAGTTTTTACCGAACCGTTCGGTATACAAGAATCTATTATCGTTCGGTTGTTATGTATATTACTGAATTTAACTAATTTGGTACGGTTCGGTTCGAGAAAACTGAACCGAATTGCCTACCCTTAAAGTTAATTACCAAAATGGTCTATTGACTATATCTAATTACCAATTTGATCTCAAGTTAATGGTTGACTAACGGTCAAACAAACTGAGGACCACATTGATTAAGATTTTTAAAGTTGAGGGACTTAATTGATAAAAAAAAATAGTCAATGACCAAATTGGTAATTTCGCTATAGTCAAGGGACTATTTCAGTAATTAACTCACAAAAGAATGTTCAATTTGGCGGAAAATATCTTTCGTAGTTTTAGTCCGAATTATTTTCAAGATTTTTTATTTTCTATCCGTCTTCATTCTCTCTGTTTTTTTTTTTTTTTAAAGTTAGTTTCCACATTATTATTATTATTATTATTATTATTATTATTATTATTATTATTATTATTATTATTATTATTATTATTATTAAGAGCTGATGGTTTTGTTGGGACTGAGTCCACCATAAACCAGGTATATATATATAGGTATAAAAGGGGATATGAAAATAGTAGCTTTATTACCTAGGTCGCTAGGTCCAAAATAGTACGTACAACGCCCGAGATATTGGTCCAAAACGACAACCGAAAAAATACATAAATAATAAATACTATAGCCCTAAGGAATGGAATAAGGCCTAAAATTGGTGGCACGAATAATAATAACTAAATAAGCTAAGGGACTAGTAAATAAATAAAGCTAAATAATTTACCAAGGATTCAATCCCAGGCATGCCAATAGGAGAGAGGAGACCAAGCCACTGAACCAAAATAATAACTGTGTCTTGAGGTGTGCCCTTTCATGGACCAGACTCCCCACCCCATTTTTTATACTACTAGAGGAACCCATGCACCCTCCACGTGTACGATATCCAGGAGGTGTCAACCCCCACCAGACACGCGTCCCACGTAGTCTTGTCGCCAACCGCCTCAACCACCCACCGACGCCACGTGCTTGGACTCCTCGTAGGTCCCCAGCGAAAAAAGGGGAGCAAAACACGCGTCTTGCCGCGCCAAAACAATTATCCTGTGCTGCCAAACACCACCTTACACCAGGTTTGCTCGGTGCCACTAATGGCGGAGCCACAATGGGGGCAGTGGGGTCAGCTGCCCCCACTCATCTCTTCCATTAATATATATATATATATATATATATATATATATATATATATATATATATATATATATATATATATATATATATATATATATATATATATATATATATATATATATATATATATTGGTAGGGAATATCCCGACCGACATAACTTTACCCCGGTTGGTGTGCCTTTGCAGGTAACAGGTCGGGCTTCTTGTGAAGAACCCGGTCGGGGTCCGACCGGGAGTTGCCCGAGCAGAAGTGTCGACCACCGAGTGGTAGCCCTTTGGCGAGAGAGCTGACAAGAGACACGTGGCGGCTCCACACGCTGACAGGCAGGGCACCCGAGACGGCGACACGTGATGGCTACGTGGGAAGCATGCCGAACGACCGGATTTGTGTCCTCGGCGCCGCGGCTATAAATACCCGCGATAGCTACAGTGGGAGAGACTTTTGGACTATCGATAGGTTGTTAGAGAATCCCGACCGCAGTCAGTCGGCACTCAGAGCAACCAAGTTGATTGTACTTAGGGCCTTCACCGTGATCAATAAAGATATTTACTTGCTTTAATTGGTCTCGTGCTTATTTAATTACTGCGTACGTGGCAATTAGCAGTATCATTTTGGCGCCGTCTGTGGGGATCGAACCCATGACCACCCGTACAAGAAAGCTATTGTCTTAACGAGCACCCGACCTCTCATTCACCATGTACCCGTGAGCACAAAACCTCTTTGCCGATGACTAGGCGGATGCAGCGAGCTCATCCGACCACCAGGCAACACAACAACAAGGTCAGACCATGGACCTCAACCTCAATCTCTCACCACCACATCCATCCAACACATACCCGGCCGCCCAACAGCCGGTGAACTACATTCAACCGGGGTACCCAACACCCGGTCAGCAATATCCACAACAGCCGATGATGTATCCCGGCCAGTATCCATAACCGGTCCCACCTCCACCATGCGGGTATTGGCCTGGCCAACCGATGTATTACACGCCCCCGGTTGGCTACCCACCATACACGCCTGCGTTCACGGCTCCAGCCGCCGCCCCTCCAGTTTACCCGGCCGCACAAGTAGAGCCGCAGCATCAGCCCGCTTCCCGGGCTCGACGCTCGGCTTGTTCGCGGTTGGGATCGGGGGGTGCTGATGCGATGGAGGCACCATGGCAGGCCCAGCAAGCAGCGGAGGTTCCCACTCAGGCGGAGGACCCCGAAGAAGTTGCCCGAGCGGCAACTTTTGATCGTCTTCGACCAGCGATGCGGCAACGTTTGGGGCCCCAAGACCCGAACCGCGAGCCGGAAGACGTACAGATGCAGGAAGCCAGCCAGGATACTTCATCCGGGCATAGCGGGTCGAGATCTCATCGACGACGACGCGCTCGGGACGCAGCCCAAGCTGCCCAAGCCGCCGAGCTCAACGAGACCCGAGGATTGCTCTACAACCTCCAGGCGGAGTTTGCGCAATTCAGGAGCGCGCATCCTGCAACACCCCCGGTCGACCAATCGACCTTGCTTAGGACGCCCTTTACGGCGGCAGTGATGACTCAGCCTTACTCGCTTGACTTAAAGGTCTCCTGGGAGAAAAGTTACGATGGTCGTACGGACCCTGAGGTCCACGTCAATGATTTCTACGGCAATATGATGCTGAAGGGCGTATCAGACGCCGTAATGTGTAGGGCTTTTTATTCCACGCTTACCGGTCGAGCGGCGGAATGGTTCCGAACTTTGCAGCCGGGTTCAATCGACAATTTTGATGCCTTGGCGATCAAGTTCGTGAGGAAATTCATTACCTCCAAGGTGGCGAAGAAGTCCTATATGTACTTGGAGAAGGCCAAGCAGCTTGAAGGGGAGAGCTTGACCGACTTCCTTGTCAAATGGAAGGCGGCGGTCGGGGAGGTTGAGCCCATGGATGATGCGACCGCCACCCACATGCTTCACATCTCCCTCCGGGCGGGTTATTTGTACCAGGATTTCATTCTACACCCCCCGGCCACTTATGAGGAGGCCCTTCGAAGGGTCACAGACTATGCCAACGCCGGCGAGGCGAATGCTGTAAAGCGCTCGCAGGAGGTCGGGTCTTCATCCCATAAACCGGCCGGCCGGGTGGAACACCGATCGGGTGATGACCATCCCCGATCCCGCACCAGGCCTGGTGAGTTTACGGCACTGAACTGATCCGCGGCGGAGGCCATGCAGTACGCTCAGTCCTGCAATCTCATTAAACTCCCCCATCCCGATCGAGACGGCCCCGACAAGAGTAAGCATTGTGCTTACCACCGATGTGCCGGGCATGACACTGAGGAGTGTACCCACTTGCGCCAACTCTTGGAGGATTTGCTTAATCTTGGGAAGTTGGACAAGTGTGTGGGGAAAAGAGAAGATACCAAAAGGAATACCGATCGGAGAGATCACCGGCGCTCCCATCATCGTTCCGATCGTTCTGATCGTGATGGACGCTCCGATCGGTCAGGTCAGGACCGAAGAGACGATCGAAGAGATGATCGTCGTGATGATCGGCGGGACCCTGACCCTCCATCTAGTAGCCGACCAGCAGGAAAGCCGACCATCCACGTAATTTTTGGTGGATTGGACGATGTTTCCCGGTCGAGGGGTAATTGCCCGGTCGCGGTAGTGGATTCCCGGGACACCGGGAAAAGGCAAAAGATGGAGCCCATAACCTTCACCCTCGAATATCAACCCAGCAGCGGTAACCATGGCATGAAGGCCCTCGTGGTCACGATTGATGTGAAAGGGACAGATGTCCAAAGGGTTATGGTGGACACTGGCAGCAGTGTGAACGTCCTTTATTTGGACGTATTTGAGAAACTTGGACTTGACAGGAAGGAGCTGACTCCGGTCGGTGTACCACTGTCGGGATTTACCGGGGCTCTTATTTACCCCGAAGGAAAAATAACGCTCCCGGTCGAGATCGGCGCATCCCCGAAGTCGATCAAGACGGA